CTGCTCGTGCCGCGGAGGACAACGCTTGCTGCTGCAGTCATATCCTTCCGCCTAAGAATACTTCTGATAACACCCCTCCCCCTTCGCCCCGATAGCCTAATATCTCCTTTCATCCACTTCTGTACCATGTGCCTTACTACTTCCTAAACAAGCAAACATAAAAACATGTGTACACATCCTGCGTACAGCTGTACGTAGTACGCACGCATACAGAAACATGACTCACAAATCCGCTTATGTATAATTAACATCTCAACCAAAAGCAGGCATTTTAAGGCAGCAAAATGCGTTCCCGTTACAGGTCTGAGAGAGAAAACTTCGGGGGGCCATACCAAGTCCACACAACACTGAAGTCATCCAGGGGCTGAACAATGTTCAGAGGCCCGAGTGCTCATCAGCTAACGTGTAGGTTCATGTTGAAAAGTCAGTTCTGTGAACCATCGTACACATGGGCCGCGGAATTTGTGGACCTCCAGGGCAAGGTGTTTACTTCTGATGTATTGAAATTGGGGGGGGGGGGCCCTGCATAAGAAGTGCACTGCAACTCGGGAACCACCTAAGGGAAACCAAGAGAAACTCCGGCAAACACAAGAGTGGTCGGTACTGTCAATCATGCTTCTGAGTCCCGTGGGACTCACGACCTTATAACTGTCTCAAGGCTGGAAGTCCATCTAAATGTTCCATCTAGAGTTCGTACCTCACAGGAAACACATTACATCTCCGTTACAAAGCTCAACCGGTTAATGCTGTTTAGGGAAACAGTCGCTGTTTACTGTGAGAACCATACGGAACACAAAGATACACTGTGTGGGCAGAATATATAGCAATTCAGTCCGTACCTCACAGGAAACATGTCTCCGCTACAGAGCCCAACCGGTTAATGCTGTTAAGGGAAACAGTCGCTGTTTATTGTGAGGACCATACGGAACAGACAAATATACTGCGTGCGCAAAAACCTTAATAAGCTGATAGTACATAGTTACCTTTGCGTTGGGCCTAAAGGGGTAACAGGCATGGATGTTCAATAAACAGGCATACGAGGGCGTGGTTCACTCGTCTGGTTCAGGATACGGCCTAGCGTCAACACGGCAATAAAAATTCGGGGAAAAATATCATTAAAAGCTGGGGAGGGAATATTTTAACTGAGCGACTACCAGCTTCATCCACAGAGGCTCATCCAGCGGGGTCTTTTCAGGGGGGAGAAGGCAGCCGGGGCGTTAAGCTGACCATTTGTATCCATCTAATGCCGGCGTCATAAATAGGTGAACCGAACGGAGTGTTTCTATCGCATAACAACACTCAGTACTTTAAATCGGATGGTGCCTGAATCGAATCTCGGCCGGCCCACGGGCTATCTTCAGGGTTTCGTGGTTACCCTCAGTCCCTCCGGCAAACAGCCGCTTCCTTATGAATCCTTTCCAGATAAATCGTCCTAACACTCCAAACTGTATAGTGTACTAGATCAGGACACCCACGTGAAAATCCCCAAAATGAATGGATGGATCTACACCTCTACTCCCCCAGGCGCCTTCATGGCGAGGAAGTTTGTTAAGCACCGGCCCAACTTTACCTTGAATCCTGAAACCCTGGGCAGGACTTGGGTTCCCTGCGATAACAAACCCCCTCGTGTTGCGAGATAACATTAATGCACGCTGCCAACACTTCGTCTGCTGCAGCTACTGCCCGCAGCGTGTGACGTCACACAATGTCGGGCTTCAGGGGTCATTCCACCCGTGTTTATCTCTTGGGCACTGCCGGGAACGCTTCTTGCGGGGAAATTGACTTCACACGCTTAAATACAAGGGACAAAAAGAAGCGCCAAGATAACTTAAAAAATGGCTGTACAAATAATTTCTCTTGAGGGAATTTAAAGGGGTATGGGTGGCGCGAAGAACTGTACTGAGGCAAACTAATTTCGGCCACCAGCATGTACTGTAAGCATCTGGAAATTAGATTAGCATTGTCGTGTGTAAAAGTGAGTCACCGGGCGGTAAAAATGCAAGTGTTTGGTGACTGAACGTGAGACGAAGGACCCTATTTGCTTCTTTAAACATGCTTTAACGTTTAAAAACTCTACATTTTACGCACACATCTGCCTATCATATGGTTCTCTCAACCTTACGCAGTATTAAACAGTCGTTAAGATGAGTAATGCGTTTCCTGCGAGGCAGCAATTGCATTTTACAACTTTTAGTCATGATAGCCACCCTCAATTCAGGAAACCAAACTCCCTCAAGCCACTACTTCTAACCTTCCTAACGCACTTTCACAACTTTCAAAACGGGGGGCGGGGAAGCCTGGGAACCTCCACGGAGCTGAGTACTTCGTGAGAAGCTGTCAGTCGCTCAGCTACTCAAGAATTTCCAAACATTTTATGGAACCCGAATGTTCACTGCCGTGTTCACAAGAGCACTAAACGGGTCCTTTTCCTGAGCCAGATGAATCCAGTCCATATCACCCTTTCCTACCTTTTGAAGACCCATTTCACCTCACCCTATTTCTCCAAGATCCATTTGAGACCTGGGAATTTTCTAACAAAAAAAACAAACAAACAAACAAACAAACATGCTTTCCCCCCTATCAAAACGAATTTCATTTCTCCCGTAACTTTCCTTACCACATACTCTTCTTGTATCCTCCCTTACTTACATCACTCTCCCTCCCGCCCCCCAAGCTTACGAGAGAACCAAGCTACAGCGATAAACGGTCTAATGACCAGATCTGTTCCTTCATGACTCCAACAGTTATAACCAGCAGATGTGACGTAGCCGTGAGAGGCAGATAATGAACAGAAAAATACGCTAGCCAATATCAAATTCTGGCCGTGTGGGGGTTTAAGGTACAAAGTGATGCCAGGCAGGCAAGCCTCATCCCCCCCCCGGCCTCAAAGAAAAGAAACAAAAGTGGGGGAGGAAATCCACGCCACGCCACACATCCCAGGGCGTCGGGGCTGTTGCAGGAGGGATGGAAGGCTCCTACAGGCCGTATGTCACAAGCGATCGAATTGACTGACGCTGGCGTCTAAGCTTATTGCAATCAGTTCGTACCTCACAGGAAACACATTATGTCTCCGCTACAGAGCCCAACCGGTTAATGCTGTTTAGGGAAACAGCCGCTGTTTACTGTGAGAACCATACGGAACATACAGATACACTGTGTGGGCAGAATATATAGCAATTCAGTCCGTACCTCACAGGAAACACATTACGTCTCTGCTACAGAGGCCAACCGGTTAATGATGTTTAGGGAAACAGTCGCTGTTTAGTGTAAAAACCATACGGAACACATGAATACACGATGGGGGCAGAATACAAAGCCTCCAGATGGCGGTTATCACTACAGGCACTAAGCAAAGCGAACTCGGGTTGCATGTATTGTTAAGTTCCGATTATAGCATTATCGGGTGTGAAGCCATATATGTCTGGTTGAGAGGTAAGGACGTTTCGGAATATGCTCCTATCTCTATTTTCATGGTATAAGTAGTTGGTTCATATATGAACCTACCATCTCATACTGGTTGACATACAACGCGGAACTGTTTTACTTACTACGCATAGAAAATGCAACACTCGCTTTTCCGCACAACAGTGGGCCACTACGCAAGATAACGTACATGGGAGGGTGGGAGGCGGAACAGCTAACGAACTTCTTCCTGGACAACTATCGCGATGTCCTATTTGGCTCTATGCTGCTGTGTGTGGGTGGTGACACAGTACACAGACCGACGTGAGCCGTCACGCCCAGCCGCAAGTGACCACTACATGAGTATTTTGGGGATAACACTGACTTCGAAAGGCCCTTAAAGCGATGTATTTTAATATACGTATTTTGAAAAGAGATACTGGGTTTTCGGACTTTGTCCATCGACCGGATTCTAAATAACTGGGGGGGGATTACCGTTTCGGAAACTGGCTCTGTTTCCGTCCTGGTGAGGGAAGACACCTACTCTGTTGGGTTCCTTAGAAAGAGTAGGTGTCTTCCTTCATCTGAGGACGGCAACAGAGCCAGTTTCCGAAACGTTGTTTTTTTTTTTTTAGTTATTTAGAATCCGGACGATGGACAAAGTCCGAAAACCCAGTATCTCTGTGTGTTATACATCATCGTCAGAAAAATATAGCATCTAATTGTATTTTGAAAAGTTGTCTCCTGGGATACAACCTTGTGTACTCAGTCCGTTGAATGTCAACCTACGTTTCGGAGAGCATGTCGCCTCCATCTTCAGGGTCGAATACGCCGAGCAAGAAATCAGTATGAAAGAAAGTAGGAAACAGACCTCAGCCACTGTTTACACAGAATGATATCCCAGAACTGTTCGAAACCAGCGCTGTTACACCCTTGGATCCTACATAACCCCGCATTTGCCCCCCCCCACACACACAAAATATTTATGTTTCGTACCGGGCCATTTCCCTAACACATTAACCGGTTCGTCGTCGTGTGAGACGCAGTAACCGAATTTGAAACTAATTATTTCGCGTTTCAATGAGTAAACTTATGGGTAACGGGATTTTTGGAACTGACTTAAAGACTGGATATGACACCGTGTACTCTCTCATGTCAAATAGGAAAGTTTCGCGAAAATACCAAACTATGCGCCGTACACAGCTATTATGTGCACCATTCGATTGGAAGCAGTTCTATTCAAACGCAGAATACAAAATGTCTTCTAACTTAAATTGTTGGTAACGAGCCCAACAACTCTGGCCCCCCCCTGGTTCGTTGGAAATGAGACGTCACGAAAATGTCTGTTTTAACGTTTGACGTCTCGAATTTAATTTATAAATTCAGTTCCTACCTCACAGGTACACAACAAACATAGAAATAATATCTTTTCATTCTGAGTTACGTTACACATTCAAATACACCGCATTAACAAAACTAAAAATGTTCTCCAGCAACAGAAAGCATGTGACACATAGCTACCGCTGAGCTTGCAAGGCTTAATGCTAACTGATACGATAAGGATTTGTCTACATGTAACAGAGCGATCAGTGCCGTACCTGAGATACTCGTCTGCTTGGTCGTCTTCGTAGTTTCTGCAGACGCCACCACGGTCGTCGCTGCAGCTGGCGCCGGAGCGTCATCACCATCGATGGCGCATTTCCCGAGATATTCCATACCTCTGAGGGCATAGGGCTCTGGAATCTTCTCGTGGGGTGTCACCTTCTCCCACACATATCGCTTCGAACCCGGGCCACTACTACGTTCCTTCTCGTGCAGAAAATCAAACCCCCAGCGTTCAGAATCTCTCTCTTGCTGCAATGCCAGTTCGTTTTCCACAAACTGACGTGTATCCTCATGGTCCACGGGTTCGAAAAGAACTCGCCTCACCCTTGCGACTGCAGCACCGTCTGGTCTGCGACGAGTCGCAACGAGAGCAGGGGACTGATCCACGGTTTCTGGAAAAGCGACGGCGCCACTCGCGCTACCTGCACACAACATCCTCTTCATCTCAGACATGACGACTGGGTTGAATACACGAGCACTCATAATTCAACGTTACCTTTTCGCGGCTCACAACAGCTTCTTCAGAACACAGCCCAAAAACTTACTCAATGCCACAACACGCAAACCAACGCGAGATCAGCTTTCTTACAAATCGACTAATCTCGTCTCTTACTATTTTTATACCACAACTCGAAGGTCACTTTCGTATAAGCGTCATCGCACAGTCAAAAATTAATGTCGAAATCCACAATCCTCGGTACCCAACAGACCAGACACCATAGCACAAACGAAACACTATTTCTTACTCAACTGACTCCTTCTTGCGGACTGTTCATCGTTTCGTGGCGTCCCTAAAACGTCATCCAATCACCCCTACTTTCCCCTCACAACTCTTTCTCGGGCATTCTCCTACGACATCACTATCTCACTCCCTCTCATTACAGCCTCCCGTCTATCTCTCTCTCTAACTTAACCGGCCCCACCACGATATCACTCCACACCAAACGACTCTTGTTTAAATTGACCAATGGAGCGACTCGGATGACTACCCAGGAACCAATCACGGCTGTATACGAGGATATGATGTCACGATCGAGCGTTAGGGGAATACGTGGAAACGCGCGCAGTTCGAAAGGTCGTCCAAGTAAACTTTCGTTTAAAGGAACATACGTATTTTTGAGATACTGTATGACGTAGAGTAAATGGATTACGAGGTTGGTGGAACATGTAGCACGTATGGGAGATATGAAAAAAGCATATACAATTTTAGACAGATAACTTGAAGCTGTTCGGGAGGCGAAAGTGTAACTGACTACCTAGAGCCCAGTCTTTTTTGAGAAGCTAATAGTCGCTCAGCTGGTCAAGAAATTTCACACTTTTTATGGAATCCGCAGGTTCATTACCGTATTCACAAGACTCCGTCACTGGTCCCTATGCAATCTAATTTATTTGTATTCCTTGTTTAATGAAGCTTCAAGTAGCTCAGATTATAAAAGGTAAAGCTATCCCTGTAACAGGTCGTGGAAGCCCATAGGGTTGCAAGACGTCGAGGCTCCCACATATTTTCTAGAAAATCGGCTCACAGATGGCGGTGAGGTTGTCACCTGCACGCAACGGCCGCACTTTACCCCCCAAGAACATTCTTGGTACTCATTTCTGTTAAAGGCTGAGTCGACGCCAGGGGAATAGTGCGGCTGGAAGCATTAGGTCAATTGAAAAATCCAATGACTTCGGCGGGAATCGAACTCGCGACCTTCAGGCTTGTAGCACAGTGTCTCAACTACGTTAGCGTTAGCGTTCAGAATATGCAGTGCAAAATGATTACCGACTAAAAAATTGAAAACGATTTGGAGACACACAGTCATGGGATAACATGAGTAACTATCTCGGCATCTTCTTGGAGCGACTGAAAAAACCATGAAATAACTTAATCATGTTGGCCCGTCTCCGGACCTAGAATTGAACCCAAGACCTCCAAAAACGAAGCAAGAGTGCTCATCATTCAACCACGGCTTTCGGTGATTAGGTTTGGACACGAATATAATATTAAAATGTATCTCAAGGAATTATGTGGACTGGATTAAACAGGCTCAGAATAGGACTCTTGCGACCTCCGGGCTACATAAGCGGTGGAGAATTTCTTGATCAGCTGAGCGACCATTAGCTTCTGCATAATCCTATATATGACTGACCAAAGCATGTTGTGTTACATAGATACTGAAAGACACCTGTGAATGTTGAAAGTTAGAAGATTTTAGACCCCCCCCCCAGCATTCCTCGTCTGAGGAGGAGGGGGCAGACAAAGACAACGCCGTCCCTCCCTGCAGGCCCTAAGACAACAGGGTCAAATTAACCTTTAGGCCTTAAATGTATCCGCAAAAGGGAGAAATTTGAATTTCGGCCAACGATTCAAGTGTCCTGAAGATGTTCGTAGAGTTGCTCACCCATTGCTCGGCATAATTCAATTTCATATTTCTCCTTTCATTTTGTTGTAAGAGATGAGATTCTCACTGCGGTGAAGATTGGGATTACGGCCTTGTGGGATGAGACGTCGTGTTTGAGGAAATCGTTGCCTCCCCTTGGGGTTGAAATTCTACCCTGAAGATGGAGCCATTAATTTCTTTCGAAACGTTTGTTACCTTTCTGCACAACTGTACATCGACAAGGTCTCAGATGGCCGTAACATTGTGACACTTAGTATCTTCTGTGTGATAGGAAATGAAATTATAAATTCTATTGCTATTTAGATTAACTTTTGTGCTCCGAAAGGTTGACGCAGTACTCCTACATTGACAACGCCGTACGCGGCAGCTATCATCGGAATGGCTCTGTGGCCAGCGGTGCCAGGCTGTGGCGCTCCAACCGACGGATGCTGGAACTGTGAAGAACTTGTCTCGTGTGCTCACCACTGACGTGCATTCGGCCATATTTTGAAGTTTGCGTGGCCACTAAGAGGCGTTCATGCGCGCCGCTGACAGTTTCAGATCCAGTATCATGTGCGCTCGAAACACGTACTTAGGCAAAGGCCCACGTTTTCCTGAATGTGTAGGAGCAAACCCCACGTTTGTAGCCCAAGCAGTTACCATTTTAGGGCGTTTTAAATTTGTCTTGTAATCAGTGGTTATACCAGTACTCATCCGACAGCGTGGATTTTCATAGCACTTCTTGCGCAATATATTCCATGCCATAGCACCTTCCAATTTCTATTAGTCTATCAATCATACCCTGTAGAACAGTTTCTTCCTTAGCCATTAACACAAGGTCATCTGCATATTTCACAGTTTAAATAATTTACCCTCAAACTGTGAAATATGCAGATGACCTTGTGTTAATGGCTAAGGAAGAAACTGTGCTACAGGGCATGATTGATAGACTAATAGAAATTGGAAGGTGCTATGGCATGGAAATGAATGTGGAGAAAACAAAAGTAATGAAAATTTCGAGACAACCAACCCCAGTCACAATAAAGATAGACCAAAAACAACTGGAGAATGTGAAATGTTTTAAATATTTGGGTAGCTTGTTAACAGATGATGGAAGGTGTACTTGTGAAATTAAATCCAGGATTGCCATGGCAAAAGCTGCATTTAGCAAGAAGAAGAATCTTTTTACCAGCAAATTGGACTTAAATTTGAGGAAGAAACTAGTGAAATGCTACATTTGGAGCATAGCTCTGTATGGGGCTGAAACATGGACACTTAGGGCAGTAGATCAGAAACATCTGGAAAGTTTCGAAATGTGGTGTTGGAGAAGGATGGAGAAGATCAGTTGGACCGATTATGTGAGAAATGAAGAAGTGTTAATTAGAGTCAGTGAGCAGAGGAATATCCTACACGAAATAAGAAAACGGAAGGCTAATTGGATTGGTCATGTTTTACATAGAAACTGCCTTCTAAAAGAAGTTATTGAAGGAAAGATAGAGGGGCGGATAGAAGTGACAAGAAGACGAGGAAGAAGACGTAAGAAGATGCTGGATGACCTTGGGGACAGAAGAGGATATTTTCATTTGAAGGATAAAGCTCTAGATCGCGTCAAGTGGAGGAACTGTTTTGGAAGAGGCTGTGGGCCTGTCGTCTTGACAGATTACAGATGAATGAATGAATATCTGATAAAGCATAAGTTAGAAAATGCTCAGTTACCTGTTTCTAGCTTTCTAAGCAATCTATGCCGGCGCTCTGACTCAGACAACACGGAACTGCACACCGTTTCACCTCACAGCAGGCGCCCACCTCAGTCTCTGTAAAATTGTGACGTGACGGATAAAAGGCGGAACAGCAGGCCCAGAAAAAACATCCATTGCTAGACAACGGCACGGTGAACACGTTTCCTCCATAACGAATAACCATGCAATAACAGAGGAACTGTTGGAAGCTGTGTTTTCTATGCGGCCAGTTGCGTGTATTTAGTGAATAGACAGGGAGTTTCGATTGGTAATTGGATTTATTCGGCTATTAAAACACATAACTACAATTAATTATTGCGATTATGGCAATTCGCACTCTTTACAATTCACTATGGCACGCATTAAATTTTCTCAGTCGGCTGTGTCTTCACCAGTTGTTGCTTGGTGACGGCTCCTAATGTCTCAGATTCCTGTGCCTCAAATGTTCGTGTCCTCGTGGGCTGGCAGCGCTCTCGAACCTACCATGGCTCCAGGCGTGTATTCATCTTCAAATATTCTCAAAGCTCCAATTCGGTTCGCCACAGAAAACGCCGCCTCCAACAACTATTCTATCGATGCGTGGGTAACTGTTGCTGCGATCACGTGAAGGTTACGGACCGTTGCGTAGCAAACAATCCTCGCTTAATAGCGCCATCGCATGTTTTTCATGTAGCAAGTTAGCAATGGATGTTTCTTCTCGCGCCATAATCCTGGCTGTGTCCTCACGACACAAGATAAATATAGAGCCGAATACCACATAAGGCTATAACTGATAGTTGAGGCCGTGCCATAGCTCAGGTAATGTGGGATTTGAGGTGTACAAAGTGGTACTGGGGCAGATTTTCTCAGAGTACTTCAGTTTCCCCTGCCAATTCTCATTCCACCGACTGCTCCACATTAATCGTCATCTATCATCCGGGGCTGGTACAATAGGTCAATTAGTGGCCGACGTACCAAGTGAACTCAGTCTCACCCCACCCCGAGAAATTAAAGAAACAAACTAACTGATTAGTCAGTGTTTCGTCATGTTCACGCTGTCAGGCACTGTCCTTCAGCGCCTTAGCACACTTAAATGTATTCACATTATACAGGGTGCCCCAGGAGGAGAGGTCACTCTAAGCAAAACTGTGTACGTACATGTGACCTATTCCGAACGTTTTCCGATACACAGCTATTTCACTGTACAGACGAGCAACGCGCCCGGTCCACACGAGTGGCTAAGTGCACTGATGTTGCCGGTGGATCTAATTAAGGACTTCGCCATGAAGGCGTATGGGGGAGTGGGTATATATATCCACATTTTCTTGACCTCGGCAGTAGCTGGGTATGAGTGGTCAGCTTCACGCCCCGGCCGCTTTACCCCCGAGGAAAAAGCCTCCGGTACCCATTGGATAGGAGGCTGGGTGGGCCCCAGAGCCGGTCTCGGCGACATGGAGAAGAGAAAATTCTTGACCCTACCGGGACTCGAACTGCGACCCCTCGGTCGTCCAGCCCGTAGCTATCACGGCTCTCAACACTTGTTCTCTGGGGGGAAAATTGCGTACGAAGGTTTAGTTCACATTTCATTCCTTATGAAACAGCTCAGTATTGCCTCCTACGTAGGAAGTAGGGAGCCGACTGAACATTACCTGGGGGGGGGGNTGGGTCCGCGACAGAAGAGAGGGGAAGAC